CGTTTGAAGTATATCTAAGGGGTGGGAGAAGGCCTTAGATATATTTGAGTAAAAAATGTGGAATATATTGAGATGATGGGAGCAGCGCCTCTAATGAAAAGTGAAAGTTGAGAAATTCATAAATAAAAGAAAAATGAGTTAAGGGATGGATGGGCGCTAGTTCATATTTCAGGATATTCGGAGCCACATTGGTAAAACGCATGGTATGGGACTGTTGTTGTCGGATTCAACTGCGGCAAAATTGATTCAGCTGCATCCTTAACTTGTGAGACTCGCAAGTGCACGAGCCATTCGGTAGTATAGCATATGTAAGTGCGAGGTCGATCCCACGAGGATTGATGATAGAATGATTCAATTTGATTCCCTATACAAAATAGAAATGGAAACAATGTTTAGAGATGATTGTGAATAGTACAAGAATTGAAAACATAAAGTTTAAACAAATAAAGAAGAAACTAAAACTGATTTTTGGGTTTGAAAACAGTTTTAGAATACTAGGGAACAATCCAACTCTAAGTTTCAAGCAATCAAGTTAACAAGTTTAATTCAAGTTCTCAGATTGATTCTAGCTAAAGTATGATTAAGGCATGGTGTCTGGTCCTAACCTTGTATTCCTAATTCCTTAATTTGACACTACTACAAAAAAGGCAATAGACGACGGGAATTTACGTCGTGTAGCCCAGTTTTCAAACTGTCGTGAAATCGAACGACATCTTTTGAAGTACACAACCACGATGATAAATCCCCGACATTGTTAACCGCATACAACGTCATGCCAAACTAAAAACCTACGTCTAAAAATTGAAAATGAGCCCAAAAAAAACTCGATTAGGAGAAGAATAGACGACCCTTTCCAAAAATCAACGTCGTTTAAACAGAACAATATGACGTAGTTTAACAAAATAACGCCATAACAAAAGGATACCACGACATAAACTAATAACTTACCGCCGTCCCATATCATTTTAACGACAGTAATTTACAATGTATCGACATGTTTAATGATTGTACATGTTCGGTTCATTTTTACACATGATTTTTCATGTTATTCACCCACTATTTTGAGTTAGTTCTTGACATTTTATAGCTTTTTACTTCTTTTTTGTGTTTTAATAGGTTTTACTTTGGTTTGTATGAAAATGAGCTAAAAGTGCATTATTTGATATAAATTCTGTTTTTGTTCATTTTCGTAGGTCAACTTCGTGGCCTTGGATCAGCATGTTCCGGTCCTTGGATGAGGTGATGATCTTCATAAGACTTGTTCCAATGGATGTTGACTACAACATATCCAAATTTGAGCTCCATTGGATAAGTATTGCCTATCCAACCAATCCAGCATGTTACCACAGCTCTGGAAATCCGAGTTGGCCAGTTTTCACCTCCACTTAGTGTGATCTTACTTCTACTTGTTACCATGCCTTTCGTAACACTTAACCAAGGACGACGTTATTAATATCTACTACGGTGTCATTATTTCCACAACCGTCGTTATATAGTAGTTTTCCACTTCGTTTATGATATAAAAAGGGACGTGGTAAAGATTTTACACGATGCTTATTGAGGTTATCTCGTCTAGTTTGTCATCTAAGACGTCGTTTTTTGTAATCTTGCTGAAGTTGCCAAGAACTTTCACGTTAGATATTTAAACGCAAAAGCCTTTTGTAGCTCAAAAGTTCAAACGATGACGTGGTTATGTAGTTACAACGTCGGAACCAATATAAAGGGAGACGCATTTAAGAATATACACGTCACCTACAATACGTACTAAGCCTGTCGTTTCAATGACTCTAGATGACTCACTTAACCAAGGACGACGTTATTAATATCTACTACGGTGTCATTATTTCCACAACCGTCGTTATATAGTAGTTTTCCACTTCGTTTATGATATAAAAAGGGACGTGGTAAAGATTTTACACGATGCTTATTGAGGTTATCTCGTCGAGTTTGTCATCTAAGACGTCGTTTTTTGTAATCTTGCTGACGTTGCCAAGAACTTTCACGTTAGATATTTAAACGCAAAAGCCTTTTGTGGCTCAAAAGGAAGACGTAGAATATATGTTGTTGGTCGTAGTTATTTTTTATACTATGGTATGCTGCGATTTGGGTCCTGTTATGTTGCTTTAAATGTCGGCTGTTTTTGTATCTCCGTCGTGATATTATTAATAACAGTTGCACAATATCGTCGTTGTTCTTCTTTTTTACGTTGCTTTGAATTAAATGAGTAGTCTTGTGAGTTACGCTTTAGACGTCGGTAAGTACATTGCGGTCGTTAAATGCTTCCAAAACGTCATTTTTAATGTCTATTTTATTAAAACAGACGTGTTTTGTATTCAAAGTTCTTGGATTTTACACGACGTATGTTAAAAAACGACGTTTGATATCTTTTAGACGTTTGTTTTTGACATTTTTTTAACAGGACCATCGTTTTTTGAATCTTGAACCTAGTTTTTTTAGTACATAAAGTTTTGTGCCCAAAACCTGCATAATGAAAGTGAAAAAAACACATTACAATTTATTACAAAATTAATGTCATACACGACCATTTAGGGCATAAGTAATTTCATAAATTACAAGCATCATTCAATCCATTTATCTTCACACCCATCTCGAATATTTTGGCTCCCAAACTCACCCGCCAGTTCATCAAATGTGTCAACATTTGGCATCCCTCTAGTAAATGGCTCACACTCAATTCCTACATCGCCTAAGACATCATCACCAACAACATTATTATATTCTCTATTAGGCATTGATAACACTATCGACCAACCACGATGCATTGGGTCGTCAACAAAAAAAAACTTGTTTGACTTGAGAAGCCATAACAAATTGGTCAATCCTTTGTCCAATTTTACTCAGATCTACAAGGGTAAATCCAAGTTTGTCGACTACAAGGCCAGAAGTGCTATCTATCTAATCACACCTAAAAACTGGGATTGTAAACTTTTGGTAGTCAAGGTCCCAAATATCTTGAATGACACCCATATTTGAGACAATTGGGTTTTTATCCTTGGCACTAGCAACTTGCATGGTATGTGCAAGTAAATAAACTCCACTATTTTGAATTGCTTGCACATCATCTTGTGCCTTGATGTTAAATTTAACACCTTTAATAAGATAGATCCTATATGATGACACTGCCATGCTTGGACCAGCTACTAGCCACCTCAAATTTTCTGATACGCCATTATTGTCTTCCCCATTAAATTCACTTTGAACCTGCAAATAAATCATATCTTAATTCAATCTAACATAGAAAGAAGAAAATTAAAAATCCAATATGTTATTCAATAACATATACCTTAAAGCGTAGCCATTGAATGAAAGTGCTATTGTGCTTATCTTGCAACCACTTTGTTCTATTTCTAAATTCAAACATAAGGAATAATTTAAAATGACTACTTAAAGAATAAAACTCATACTCGATATAAGGTAGGACTTCCTCTGTATTCTCCAAGACATATAGATGTGCCTGGTTCAATAGGTCCCAATCAACTAAGCTCACTATGCAACCTGATAATGGCTTTGAAACTCCTATCTTATGGCTTGATGGCAATCCAATTGTACTAACATCTGATAAATGCTCAGAGCAAAATTCGACAGCTTCTTCAGCTATATACCGCTCAGCAATGCAACCTTAGGGATGAGTACGATTCTGAACATACCCCTTCAGCCCTTTCATATATCTTTCGAATGGACACATCCATCTAAAATAAACTGGCCCACATAGACGAACTTCTCGGACAAGATGTACTACTAGATGAACCATAATATCGAAGAATGAAGGTGTAAAGTATTTTTCAAGCAAACACAAAGTAACTATACTACATCTTCTTCCAACTTATCTAGCTTGGAAACATCTACTGTCTTTGCACATATAGCATTGAAGAAGAAGCACAAACGAGTTATTGCATACCTTGCAAGCTTCTCCAAAACAGAACGAATTGCCACAGGGAGCAATTGTTGCATCAAGGTATGATAATCATGTGATTTAAGGCCAAGAAGTCTTGAATCTTGTAAAGATACAAGATTTTTTTATATTTGAATAATAACCTTCAGGGACTTTCATACCGAAATTAATCGATGTTTCCTAGGTTTTGGATTCGATCCGAAATTAATCGATCAAAGAAATTGGACACTTCAAGTTCGTACGAAGTTCGTACTGTAATTAGAGTGGTTGATGTATTGAATAGTTTTAGTGGTTGGATTTGACTCAAAACTCACCAAATGACTCCTCCCACCATATTATGATGTTGCCCAAGTTTTGGGCTCGATCCGAATTGCATAGGTCAAGTGGTTTTCCGATTAAACCTCCTACCAACTCCACATCACGTCCTCTGCCCTATTGAAATCTTGACTTTAGAGTCACATGGATTTTTTGAGAAAAAGATCTTCCCCAAGAGTATGCTGACTTGATCTCTGAAATTGTGATCAACGGTGATGATCAAATTTTGAGCCTTTAGAGAGATTAGAAGCTGGGCTTAGTTTTTAAACCAATTAAAAACTAACTTATTCATATTAAACCACCATTAATGGCATTTAATCTTTAATCTGTAAATTTATTCATTTCAATTGGTTCACGAAGGTCTAGGCCTTTAAACCCATCTGGACTGACTTCTAATTTTAATAAAACAAAGCCCAAACTCATATTTTTGACATGGGTCAATAGTTAGTTGGGCTGGCGCATGAAATTTAGGCCCAAATAGTAACACTTTTTGTTGTTGTACTAGGGACTCCAGTTACCATGATACTTAAGATTGACTGTGGCGTTGTGATGACGTTAGTGAGGCATATCTTACGCTGGCTTTGAAATCGAGGTAGGTAGTATATTGAAAATGATCTTTTATGTAGACGAGTCACCAATAATTTATTCACTCAAAAAAGATAATCAAACATTAAAGAAACTTGGGTGATACAATTATTCTTAGTAAAACCAAAGTCTCAGTATAAATATATAAACTGAGATCCATGAAAGAGAAAGTAAATTTCAATATTTATTAAGTACAAGGAGGCATATAAGCAGGTGCTGGGAACATGCTGGTTTCAGTGGTGTTTCCATTTGTTACAATGAGTACAGTGGCCATTCCCCAGCTGGCGTGCCTTTCCAAATGACAGTGCATAAACCATACTCCTGAAAATAATCATCAAATAATTCATTTAAATAGTTAGTTTACCTAGATCCATGGTTGCTCTTAATTAATTTACCTAATTACATACATCGTACATGTGGCATGTGAGATGTTTATTATTATTATTATTATTATTTGTCAGCGTTTGGAAAGGAGAGGAGAGCGGTGTCATTGAAGTTCAAACCTGATACCACTTACCATTGAGTGCGGCAATCATGTCGGTCCCTTGATAGATTATCTCAACTTCTTCACCATATTCAATCATCATCACCTTCATCCCAAAGTAAGGATATATTGTGTCGTTTCGCACGTGTCCCATGAAGTTGAAAATATAAGGTTTGTGTGGGAAATTAGCCGAGTAAACTCCATAAATTTCCCTGTACATAGGCAATAAGGTCATTTAAGTTAGATCTTTTTTTAATTAAAAAAAACAAAGTTCTAGTTTTGCAAAAAAATGAACAAGTAATCAGACGTGGATTAGGCAAGCCAGTGACCCTCTTGCATTTGAGTTCGAGAGAGTATATTAATTTAAACTATTATTTGTATTTAAAAACAAGTAAAACGCACGCTTTTGGCTCAGTTACCATTTTACCCTTCTAGACGACTATTCATTTCCCTTTCAGTGAAGGATGGATGTAGAAATAATGGATGGGCTGAGATGGACGGGGGGTGAGGTGTTTAGTGTTGGAATTTTAAAAGGTTTTAAAAATTTAACCGTTTTTATTTATTTATTTATTTGGTTCTTTTATTTTATTTATTGTGGAGGGTTATAAATATTTAATTTTCAAGTTTTATTTCTATATTGAATGCCTTAATTTTTTGGTTGGTGAAGGTTACATGTTCTTGGATGCCTATAAAAGGTCACTCCTCCTTCACATTTGTAACAACCACAATACACCATCAGAATATCACATACCACAATCACCACCACAAACTAATTCTCTCCTTTTCTACTTTTACATATATTCTCTACTTTATATTATTATTTTGGCAATTGTTCTGTGACTTGGATACCTATATCCGTCTATGAACGTGCCCATAGTGGATCTTGAATTTGTGTACAAGGGGTCGTATCTTGGAGTCTTATAGACCGTCAATACCTGCACGTAGGGAGGCTACAAAGGCTTTAGGACAACGTTTTTGACGTCCTTCACCGTACCAAACTCACCTTCTTAGTTATTATTTATTTTGCTTTTACTTACCTATTATTTTATTTTCTTCAATTTCATTGTACCTTAAAAGCTTTCCAATTTGTTTATAAGTTATTTATAATATAAATGTTTTTGTATTTCGCTTTACGGAAAAGAAAAATTATATTTTTTATAACATTTAGTTGGGAAACCTTATCTACATAGAAAACTCTCATGAACATATACAATAATTTTAGGATTTTTTTTTATATAGCTTAAAATAGCGACATTAACCAATTAATTTGAGCAACTAATTAAAATTACATTACGTACCCGTAATAGGCTTGCAGTATATCAATCAATGGAGTCACAAAACTGATGTTGTTTAAGCTAGCAGCAAGTGCATTTCCATCTGGCCCATCACAAGAAGAATTGGGACAAATTCTTTCATTTACGGAAACAAAGATGAAGAGCGTGTGTGTGATGTTTAACGGGACTCTAATGGGGTAGTCTTTGCTTGCCAAAGCCCTGACTTGCGTAGTGAAGTTTGAGGCAGCCATTTCGTCGGCGGGATTGGGAAGAGTCAGAGTGGGAATGGTTGAGGCGGTGGTGCTGCCGTTGTATTGAAGAATGGCAGTGGTGGTGCTATTGTTGAATGCAACATCCCCATCAACAAAAGGAGTGGAAGATACGTGATAGGAGCTGGGAGGCTGGTTTGCAACTACCAAAATGTCTATGGTTTGGCCTGGAGTTACTGTCTGACAGTGACATAAACTGTCAGACAATGACACAAGAGTTGTTTAATGTCACTCTAAGAGCATGTCCAGTGCAGGGTCCTTGCCTGGGCAAAAGGCCCCCCCGACAGCCCAATTCCCCCTCCAGCGCAACAAATCCAGCCCGGGCAAGTCTTGGGTCCCACCAACCCTGGCAAGCCCACGGGCAAATTCTGCTTGGGCTGCTGCCCGAAGGCGCTAACATCATCGAGCGAAAAAAATCCAAAAAAATTTGAAAAAAATTGAAATTTTTTTTAAAAAAAATATACCAAAAAATTATGGATGTTTTCCCTATAAATACATAACAATTTTATTCACTTTCCACACCAAATCCTCATACAAACTCTTCTCCTTCCAATA